ATGAACAGCGCTGGAGTTTCCAACCTCATACCTACATCCTTACGCCCTGGCTCTTCCGTTCATGCATTAGGCAATTTTTTTTTTCTCCTCTTTTTTTTTGGTCAGGAGATTTTTTTCGTCCGCCTACTCTATGTCAGGCACTGGGCCAGGTGCTCCAATCCAAGTCTCTGTAAGACAAACTCCACAAGCGGAACAGCACTGAAGGGCATGGCTGTTTGAAATTGTCATAGATCCAGCCAAACTCACCTTCTAGAAGCTGTCTACATCGTGCCCCCTCCAACCGCGGGTGAGGCTGGCCACTTCCCCCCACCCCCACCCGGGCATTAGTGATCAGTTTCATTTCTGCCCAGATCTGGTCAGCGAACAACAGAGGATCTCAGGATTTAATCGTTATGTCCCTGATCACTGTGGCGGTCGGGTCCCTCCTTGCACGTCTCCGCGCGCAGCCAGCTTTTGTTTGCGGCACTGGGCACTCGGAAGGTGAAGGCTGGAGCCATCGCTTGGCTAGGGCCAGTCCATGGGGAGCTCTCTTTGGGCCGGGCAGTCCTCCCCGCCAACTTCCTCCCACCCCAAAGCCTGGAAACAAGGACTTCCCTCTCCCACCCACGCCGCCCTCGCCTCTGCCAGGGCCCAGCAGATGGGGGAGGCCGCCTTCCGGTCCCAGAGAGGAAGCTTCGTCCTCGATTGTTCTGTGCGGGCCCGCGCAGCAGGAAGAGGCCACGTGGTCCCCGACCAGAGCAGAGCAAGCCCCCTTGGGCAAGTGGCCTCAGGTCTCAGAGGTGGCTTCCCCAGCATAAAATGAGGACCCCATGAGGCCCTGGAGACACAAGGGAGGAAGGGGAGCCGGGCAGCTGTGCACATCCCTCCGCCTGAAGCCTCAGTCCCTCCACCCCTGCCTGGCCCCTGCCCACCAGCCTCCCACGGCCCTGACGGCAGGTGTCACCACACTTCTGGCTGGAAAGACCCTTCCTTGCAGGTCTCCTCACTCACGGCTCTCATGCTGTAGGCGGGCCTGTGAAACCCAGCCCAGCAGAGAGCACAGCACTGCCACAGTAATCTTTCTGCTGACCCCACCAGGCATTGCAGGATTAACGACGAACCCGCGGTATTGACGGGGCCATGGATCGAGTGCGTGGAATGCACCGGGCACCGTGCCGAGCTCTTATCGCGCCTCATGTCGTTTAGTCCTCACAACCACCCAGGGAAGGAAAGGACCGTTCTCCCCATGTCATAGATGGGAACAGAGAGGCCCAGAAGGGTTAAGAGACTGGCCTCAAGTTGGCAGCTCCAGTGTGGGGCGGGAGCTGGGATCCACACCTGGCTGGACTAGGGCGTGGGGAGTTGCACCGTCCACCCACAGAGACCCTCTCTCTTAAGCTCTTCTCTCCCCTCCACCCCCAACCAGCCCTGGCCTTGGCCTCAGCCATGCCCCAGCCTCCCTGGGGGCCCCAGAGGAGGGCAAGCTAGGGACAACATGAAGCGCCTCCCACACAGGCTAGAAATTGTGACTTGTCACTTCGAAGGCTATGCCAGCTGAGAGGTGGCGGTTGAGGAATCGTGGAGGATGGGGTTGTGGAGGCAGGTGTCTCCAACAGTTTGGAGGGGGGGTGGCTCTTAAAGCAATGTGGGTTGGTCGAAAACCAGATAGAATCCTGTGAAGCTGGCATGGAGAGACTCACCATGTTGCAGGTCTCCTCTGGAGGAGTCGGGGCATTACTGAGGTGGCGTGCACCATGGTTCCGTTTCAAACAGTTCAAACCAGGATGTCATGCTAGAAAGTTCTCCCGGATTAGAGATTAATTTTAAGCAGGGATAATGTGCAGGGGTATTATGGGTTTCAGTTAAGTGTTTGGAATTAATATTTTGAATGCAAGCCCGTTTGTAAAGGAGAGAAGCCCTAAACTTAACCCCTGCCACCTAGTTGCCCTCTGCCCAGGCCATGAAGGCCCAGGGCGTGGGTTTCATTTTAATTATTCCAATTGTGAGGGTCTTGTCCAGTGGTTCTCAGTCAGGGGCGACTCTGCACCCCTCCCGGGGACATCGGGCCATGTCTGGAGACAGTTTGGTGGTGCAGGCGGGGGCAGAATGCTCCTGGCACCAAGTGGGCAGAGTCTAGGGATGCTGCTCCCCTATCCCACGGTGCACGGGACAGGGGCAGCTGGGGCCTGCCCCGTGGTCTCTGCTCAGTCCCACCTGAACACCCCTCGCTTTCTGTCATGTCGCGGGGTCAAAAAGACGAAAAGCATCATTTGGCTTTGGGAGGATCACACCTAAAATGCTTCCATTTACACTCAAGAAGGAGCAGACATCGGGCTTTCTCCAAACGAGCCCTTCGCATTTCCAGAGGGCGCCGGTCGAATACAGAGCTCTGCCCACAGCTCAGAGGAGCCACGCTCTCTGGTAATTCCACTTTTTAATACAATTTGGCCGATGAGTACTAAGTGGAGTTGCTTCCAACTCAGCGGCGTGGCCACAGGGTGGTCACCTAGAACTGTTCCCTCACTGGGCCCTCAAAGCCACCTGCGGGGACTTCTTTCCCTATGCCCCCTGACAGCTGACACAAGGCACCAGGTGACCGGCCAGGGCCCCAGAGCCAGGGTGGTCGGCTGTTCTGCCCCTGGGCTGAGCCCAGGAGGGGTCGCTGCACACGGCCCACCCCCCTGCCAGGGAGCCTCAGGCTCTGCCCTCCGCCTGGGGCTCCTCCTGCCCCAGCTGAGGGCCCCAGGAAGAATGGGTGTAGGGGACACAGGGCCCCCCCACCATGCTGTAAGAGGTGCCCCAGGGAGGGGGAGGAAACAAAGGGAAGCAAATGGAGAGCAAAGAAAACGGCCTTCAACCTCTGAAAACGCAAATCATCCATGACTTGCACTATTTTTAAATTTTTTAAAAGGCAGGGAGTGGGCGCTGTGTAAAAGACGGAGACCCGGGCTCTGGAGAAACTTCGGGACCAGAAGTTTGCATGTATCCGAATTCTGCAGTCTCGGCCATGGTCCTCAGCTCCTCGCAGACACCAGGGCTCAAGCCCCTGGCTGAGAGAAGGATGGTCACGGTAACAACAACATCAAAGACAACAACCCTGGGCCTGGCGCAGTGCTGACCTCTTGACAAATGTCACCTCCCATAATTCTCGCAGTGAGCCAGGAGGCAAGGGCTGTGACTGGCCCTGTCTGCGGACAAGGAAACCGAGGGCCAGAGTGGCTAAGGTCATACCCTGGAAAGTGGCAGAGCCTGGACTCTGGCCCGGGTCCGCTCGACTTCGACCTAGGTGTGCACCGGACACCCCTAACCGGGAAGCAAGGACTGGCGCGGAAAGGGAAAGTCATCTCGGGTCTCGGGCCTCAGGCCTGCCTCCAGCCATAGTGCCTGAAAGGACACAGAGCCACCGCAGGGAGGCTTCCAGCCCCGGGGCACAGACGGGGAAGCAGAGGCCCCAGCCGGGCCTGCCTCTCCCCACAGCACGCCACCGTGTCTGTCTCAGCTCAGCGCCCCTGGTTCTCCCCCACTTCCTTCCTCCTGGCGCTCCTATCTTTCCACGTTCTGCGAGACCCTCTGCCTTTCCCTCCGCTTCCAGGGAAGAAGACAGGCTTCGCCTAAAACCCCTAGAAAAACCTTTGTGTCTTGTCAATTATCCCGGATCCTTTACAAAGTCCCAAAAGGCTTCTGGCTTAAGGCTTCCTAGGAGAGTCCACACCGAATAATTAAGAATCATGTTTTCCTTCTTGCCATGGAAAGTCGCCCCCACCTGGGTTAACAGCCACTTTTGAGAATCAAAAGCCTTCTGGGGATAGACATCAGGTTGACAGAGGGACAGGCCACCCACGCACCTCCGTGGGGTGATCCTGGTTACACCCCCCTTTTACGCTTTACCACCTTCCTCTTGTTTCCCTTACAACTTCAAAGGCGCCCCTGGAATGGTTAAGTGGAGAAGCGACAAGATCCAGTGTCCTGCCACCCTCCATCCCCTCCTCAGCCCCTCTAATTTCGGGGGCGGGGGCAGGATGTTCTGAAATCAGCGAAAAGGTCCAACTCCCGGGGAACCCCCTGCTCCGCTCCTCACTTGCAGAACCGGGAAGCAGGGTGCACAGGGTGGGAGGCTGCCCTCAGGGCCTGCCTAGCTCCCTCCAAGGGACCTTGTGCTCCGAAAGAGCTCTTTTCACCACCCTATCTTAGGGCGGCCCTGAAAGCGAAGTTGCTTTCCTTTCTATCGCTACTCTTTCCAGACCGGGGATGACCATCTCTGGGGCCAGAGAACATAGCAGGAAAGAAAACACAGGCCCCCCGTGTCCTGCACCAAGACGGGCATTGTCCTGGGAACATTCTGGAGACCAGGCTGGAGAGAAGAGGCCAGTGGGCTCCTCTCAGCTGTTAGGGCCCCTCTGGAGCCTTCTGGACACTGACACTGGATGTCTACATGCAGCGGCCTTCTGCCTTGGAGAGAGAAACACGCTACTCCGTGAAACAAACCAGGTCTCTAAAACTAGCGATCCTCTCTAACAAAACACCGTAGGAACAGCAAAGCATTCCCCCAGGTCCTCATGTGCCGCAGACATGAGTTCAAGCCCAGCACAAAGCACTGTACAAATAACCATGGAGGCATCCGAGGGCCCCATTCTCCTCCTGAGTATCGGCCACGGGTGCCTCCCAGGGAGGCCCGAGCCTGGGGGGGCCGAGTCTCAGCCTCTCTAATGGCCCCAGGACAGCACGCTTGTCAAATTTGCCAAAGAGGCACGTGGTGGAACGCGCCTCTACATTCTCGGCCTCTTGCAGGGAAGGACACAGGAACCCCAGGGGCTAGTGACAGAGGGAGGGAAGGTCCCAGAGCCATGACCCCAATCTGAATCAACAGGCAAACCCTTGAGATCACCTGGCCAAGAAGAAGTACTCAGAGGCCACTTCCATACCTGCCTAAAGCTTCCCCTCTGGCCCCCAGCCCCCACCCCAGGCCCCCAAGCCCCCCACCCTGAGCAGCCCCCCTAACACTTGCGGGGGGCAGTACTCACATGCCCTGCTCCCCATACTGGTTGTAGAACTCCATATGGCTGCAGGCCTGAATCCAGCCGACGATCCAGGTCTCTTTCTTGGGGATGGGTGGCATGACCACCTGGGCCGAGGCACGGAAGTGGGGTGTCCGGTAGCGGAGCACCACGCTGGAGGACTCATCGATGCTGGTGGGGATGGGGTCGATAGAGGCTTTCACATCAATCACCGTGATACCTTCCCGGAAGACTCTGGCTTTGCCCCCGATGCTCTGAATACAGCCCATGGCACACAGGACCGCTCTGATCTCCAGGGAAGGCCAGCAGTCCCAGAGGAGACTGGGCATTGAAAGGATGGAGGCTGCCAGACCCAGTGCAGACAGTACTGCTCTCCAATCTCAAATCTCAAGACCGATATCCATAGGATAGAAAATTCACTGAGTACAGGGGGTTTGCATATCACTATCTCAGGCCTGTTTATAAATAAGGATTTTGCTGCATTTCAAGAGCCCTGGGTTCTCTCTTCTTCTGCTAGCAGTGGACAAAAATCACCGATATTCTTTGGGTTAAAAGAAGGAAAGTTTGGAGGTTAATGGATAATCATGTTGTTCAGACATCCAGCCCTTCCGTGCCTCCCACGCGGGGAACGCAGCTCGGAGACGCTTCTGAAGTCCTAGGGCGAAGAAGGCGAAGGCCGGCAGACACATAAATGTGGAAGGCTCGTCCCCTGCGCGGCGCCGCCACCCTCGCTGCCAAGTCCGACTTCCTGCCCTTCTGCCTTCCGCACGCGCTCGCTCGGGGCACACGCACCGGCCCCTCGCCCAACGGGGCCCAATCAATGGAAGAGCAGTTTCTGTTCGAGCGCGGAGGCCGGGGCGCCCTCGGGGGCGAGCGCCGACCCGCGGCTTCCAGGAGGCGAGCGCCGGGCTCCGGCCGCCCGCGGGGTCCCGGAGGGGCGCGGCGCGGCGCGGGTCCCCGTCGGCGCCCACTCGCGGGCGCGGGCCGACGCCCCCACGCGGGCGCGCCGCGTCCCCCCGCCGCTGTCGCTGTCGCCGCCCGCCGCCGCGCGGGGCTCCGGGGTTGCTCTTGGGCCGCCGCCTGGCTCGCCGCGGCCGCCGAGGACCTGGTCGGGGGGTGGAAGGGACAGGGCGTCAGGCCCGCCTCAAAGTTGAGCCGAACTTTGCTGCGGGGGGGCGCGCGAGGCGGCGACGCGTGTGCGCGGGGCGCGGGCTGCGGAGCTGACGGCGCAGCTCTGGGCGGTCTCCCCGGAGGCGGCGGCCCCCCCAACCCGCCCGCCCCGTCAGCGGCGGCTGCACGACCGCGCGCACCAGCGAATAATCGCCGCCCGTGACATCTCCGCTGACACCCTCCCGACCCGGGCGTGGCGTGGGTTGGGGGGGAGCGACCGGCTGGCACTGCAGTGGGCCGCGTGGACTTGCTGGCCCTGGCACTGTCCCCACCGCCTCGCAGCCAGCGCCGGCGCCCCTTCCCCGGCCGGGCCCCTCCGGCCCCCTGGGGGCGCAGTGTCACCCCGCAGGCCGGTCCGATCGGCCGTGCGCCCCTTCCCGGGCCGGGATCCCCCGACCCCGGAGGGCGCAGTGCCCCAGCCCCGCCGCGTCGGTCGCCTCTGTCCCCACCCTCCCCGGCCCCGAGCGGCCCTGGGTACCCCGCGCGCCGGGCGCGCTCGCCGCCGCCAGGGAACTTTGGCGCGCACGCCCCCACCCGGGCGGCGCCACCGACTCACCTGCCCCTCGGGCAGCTCCGCGTGCCCCGGCCGCCGCCCTCCGGACGCCCCTGACCCCCGCCGCGGGTACGTCCGCGGGGCGTCCCTCCCTCCCCCGGACAGTGTCCTTTGGCTCTACTGGGGTCCGGGGCGGCCGTGGGCGCCCCCGGCCCCCACCTCCTCCTAGCCCGGGGCTGCCGGGGGGTGGCCGGGGGCGGAGGGGTGAGGCTCGGGGCTCTCTCGCCCCCACCCCGAGCACCCGCTTTATTTTATGATCATTGTGAGCGTGCTGTCGCCGCTCAGCCGCGCCGCCGCGCCGCAGCCGCCTGGCGCGCCCCGCACTGCCTCGCTCTGCTGCAGCATCGGAAAGGCAACCAGGTCAAACTTTGCAGAAACTCAGCCCCTGCGCCGGCCTGGCCCCGCGTCCGCCCGCAGCCGCCGGCCGGAGAGCAGCGCACGCAGGGACCGCCGCCCGCTCGCCGGCCCCGCGGGGATGCAGGTCCGCAGGCGGCGGCGGCGGCGGGCGGGCGGGCGGCCCGGCGCCGCCTCCTCCTCGCCGCCCGCCCTGCGCTCCACCCTCGCTCCCCGCACACAGCCCGCCCTCCCCTAGCTAATCCTCTCCCCGGCTCCCCCCCCTCTCTCCCTCTGCAGCTTGGGGGGAGCTGAGCCTCTCCTTGCATAAACGACATTTCCTTTTTGGCTAGCCCCAGGAATTCTGGGTAGTGTAGTTCGCGGCTTTCTGTCTCGGGTCCAGGTGGGCTCCTCTGCCCTTTGAACTGGGCAGCCTCTCTGGGGAGGAGGGTTGCACGGTCCTGCTATTCCTGGGGCCATGGCTGGGTGGAAACAGTGCGGGGGTCCTGGGAGGTCCCGGGGCTGGGAAGCTTGGGGTGGGGGAGAGAAGTCTGGGGAAATTGTTCCTGGGACTGAGCCTCTTGGCACCCTGACAGGTGGTCAGGCCTGTTGGGCCCCAACTGTGATAAGTGCTGCACAAGCTTCATCATTTCATCCGCCATCAGCCAGCCCTGTGGAGGGAGGTCTATTATGGGTACTTCACAGAGCAGGAATTCGAAGCTGGGAGACCCCAGAGACTTGCCCAAGGCCCCACGCTGGCAGGTGTCCCAGCTGATACTGGGACCCCAGAAGTCTGAGTGCCGAGGTTCAAGGAGGGTTTGACCCTGGACAGCCCTGTGAACCTCTCTCAGCTGCCTCAAGCCAATAGCCCCACCCCCCACCTTGCAATTTACTCCCCCAGGGAAAGACCAGGTGGTTTGTGACATCAGAAAACCTGGCAGCCACATTAGAGTCGTGCTCTGCCCCTGCCCCACCCCCATGACTCTGACTTCCAAAGGTACCCACAGCCCGCTGGGGAGCAGGTCATCCGGCCACCCTCCAGCTAGAGCCTCTTGAGTGCCAGTGAGGGCAGAAGTGGAGAGGGAGGGTTCCGGCCACTTTGAGGGATGACCAGCCAGGTCAAGGGGTCTGTCGCATGCCAACGCCAGCTTAGGCCACAGGTACCTTATCTCTAGTCCTGCTGACTGAGACGAAGGGAGGGTGGCCCTCATGACCTGTTTTCTGCTGCAGAGTAGAAGCCCAGACAGCACAGGTCTCCCAGGGACCCCGTGTAAATGTCCATTTCCACAAAGATGACTTCCCTGGCCTCTTAACCCAAGGTGGCCTCTCCCTGCTGTCAAGTCATGGCCCCCCCAAAGCATTCTGCCCTCTGGGTCTCACTATGGCCTTCAACACCTCCTTTGCCTTCTGATAATTATTATGCTATTCCGTTTCTATGTAGGTAAGATATTAACTTGTGGGGATGTCTGTCTCATCTCCCAACCCTCATCACCCCCAGTGCCTGGAACAGAGCAGCCCCCACTGGCCAGGGTGTTCCCTGAAGTCACAGATGCCATCCTGGTGACAAGGACATGGGTGTTCCGTGAACATGTGCCAAACTGCACATTTTTCTCATTTGATGTGAAAAAGACAGAGGCCAGAGCCTTAACCTTGTCACTAAACAGCCAAACCCCTAGAGATGATGCTGCCTGAGTGACCACTGACCCGGGGGGGGGGGGGGGCTATACAGACAGAGACCCAGAGTTTGAGGGGCAAGAGATTTTCAGAGTCTGGATCCCCAGCCAGACCTGGCCAAGTCCAAAGCCCACTCAGTTCCTTCCTCCAGGGATGCTGCCCTTACTGGCTGGGGCCAGCCCCTCTGAATGGGATGGAACTGACCCCTAGTAAGCCCTGTCCCTAGGGAGTCCCACTGGAAGAGGTGCTCAGGTGCCCACAGGGTGAGGGCTCTTGCAAAATAGAAGCCCCCTCCCCCTTAACCTCAGACGCATAGACACCTCCCCTTTCACATCACGCCCCATGCAGTACTTTGTCCTGGGCTAGTTGAAGCCTGGTTTTGTGGGCAGAGGGCTACAACAGTATTTGTGGGCCTGTTCACCAGGCTCTGAGCTGAAGAGTGCTCCCCACAGGCCAGCCCTGACCGGGAGAGGGTCTCCAGGGGCTGGGTTCTTGTACATGCCCTGTCCCAGTTCCTGCTGGGCCCTTCAAGGCTCTGGCTGCTTCCTCAGCTCCTCTTTGGCCCTCCTGCCTCCTGACTCAGTCTTCTTCCTGCTCAGCATTTTCTGGAGCTCTGTGGGTGTTGGGCACAGACCCATGGCTGCCTCAGCATCTGTGGAAGGCTCAGGGTGCATCCACACTTGTGTGAAAGCCTAGCATCTGCAGATCGGAGGAAGGGGACTTCTGGTGGTAATGTGCCCAACACCGTGGGGACACTCACAGTGCCCCCCACCAATCTTTTCCCCTCCTCTAGACCTCAGTCTCCCTAGAGCCCTGGTAAAGTCAATAAAGTCGCCAGTGAATGGGAAAGAGGGGGGACTGGATGCACAGCCCCGACGCCGGCCCGGAGATGGTGAACTCCCCAATGTGGCAATTTGGGGACTCAAAGTATGGTCAGTGGGAAGGCAAGGTCCCTCAATTCTGGGCACGTTGGTCCAGAGAGGCCATAGAGAACCAGCCATACAACAAATCAGAGATCAAAACTACGTGGCCTGGCCCAGCTGGGTTTTCACATGCAGCCCAAACAAGCTGAGAGTCCTCCGAGGTCTGCGGAAAGAGCTAGATGGATGCAGCTTCTTCTCACTGAGCATCACGGTAAGCCATCATACTTATCCTCTTCACGGCCCTCCACAATGAGCCCACGAGCCAGCTTCTGTCACCATGCCATTCTGTAGCTGAGACACTGAGGCCCGGGAAAGACAGTAGTGTGGATTGCACTCAGCAGCCCAGCTCTAAGACCCGGAGGCTGGTGATTCAAGGAAGCAGGCCCTCTCCCTGGTGTCCCTGTAGTTGTTGGGGCCTCGCTTTCATGGCCATCGGAGGTGGTCTCCGGGCTCCATCTCCCTCATTGGCCAACCTGCATCTCAAGGCCAATGCCAGTCCTTCAAGAGCTCTTGGCCTCCAAGGGTGTGGTCATCATGGGACTAGAAAGGCATTTCCCAGGAAGTAAAAGCCCTTGTTCTGCAGATGGAAATGTTAATGCTGGAATTCTGTTGCCCTGGGAAACAGAGTTCTCTCCTTAACTGTTTGGGACCAGACTGGAAGCCAGTGGTAAGGCTTGGAATGCCCACCTGGGAAAGAGTGGGCAAGGGCTGGAAGGCCAGGCAGATGGCTGGAGGTGGGCATCGGGTGGCCAGGAGGTGGATCCCGCTGCAGGGCTCACCTGAAGTCACTGATGTGCCCCACCTCTGCGGGGAGCAGGAATGGGATCTCAGAGAGGGCTGGTCCGTGGCCTCCCCTACAGATGGGGAACGGAGGCCCAGCGAGGTCATCCAGAGAGGGCCCCCCGCATTAGAAACTAGGTAATTCTCCATTAAGAGGCAGTGGTGTGGTCTGGGAAACGTCTGGAAGGTGTTAAGTCCGCCTGCTTTGGGTGGCTGCATGTCTGGAGGCAAAGGCCTTTCCGGCCAGAAGTTCAGAACCACATTGCTTTTAGGGTGTGTTAGGCTCGGGACTTCTCAGCTGGCCCTTCCACCATCCGCACGTGCCTTCCTTCCCCAGTATTGACTGGACACCTGTGCTCGGCTGGGCGCTCAGAGGACGCTGGGGACACAGCCAGAGCCAGGACAGACGGCGGGCGTGGTCCCCACGGCACTTAGGTCCATGGGTCAGAGAGACGTCAGGGTAAGTCCAGGAATGATGAA